CGCAGGGTGGAGTGCGGTCATGGTGAGGCTTGTTCCGGAGCCTGGACATACAATGCCGCGAAAGTGTGTTGCAAAGAAATATGGTCCAAATAGATGAGTGGGATCATTGATTCTTGACAGAGTTATCTAAGCATTCATTCAGCCAAGCGACTTTACCAGAACTGTTCAAGAACTGTAAGAATTCCAATTGAATGTCCTATTGGTACCGACACAGTATGGTCGCTGGGAACTGTTTCTGTTTCACTGGCTGTTCCTGCATTGGTCTAGCGCTTTGTTGAGCGCCTTCCACCCCCTAAAGTTATGAGGCCAGGACAAGCTCCTGTCACCAGGATTTCCAAATTAAAGGTTTGTGTTGCGCAGTGGCTGCTTAGAGTTTGTGTTGCTCTTAGCTGTTTGAAATCCTGGTCACAGGCGCTGGCCGGGCGGCCCTTAGTGCAGGCTAGGCGGGCTGGCAAGCAAGCAGCTGTAAGAAAATTTGGCATTTTGACACATTTTGAATTCGCAGAAACATTGCATATTTGAGAATTCAATATATTGAGCGTTGTGGAATCGATTTGAACATTGTCGGATCCAGTAGATGAATTCACCTACAAAGCACGTTAAAACTCGAAACTCAGATTCGGGCCAAAGGAGGTCTAAGTGAATTGTGCATTTAGTTCACTTCCCTAAAGCCCTAACCCCTGAATTCTGGGAAGCAACGGCGTAGGTAAATTGAGCACATTGGGCAACTTGGTGTTTCAGGAAATTGAGGCAAGGGGAGGGATATAGCAAAGGGTGGGGGGCTCAATGGAGTCTCGAGCATTTGGATCTTTAGTGTTTTAGTAAATGGGGCCTCACGAACAATATGAGGTTTATAAGTAAATTGAACATTGTTGATGACGTAACGTTAGAGGATGCATGATGAAGGCACGCATGATGCAAAAAGCTCAAGCTCAATTTATAGGCTCTTGAGGAGGGTTTAGGGTTTAGGGTTTAATTTGGGTTTAGGGTTTAGGGTTTAGGGTTTAGGGCTTAGGGTTTGTGGTTTGTGGGTTTAGGGCTCAGGGCGTTCAGGGTCCTTAAACCCTTTGCGGCGTTTGGGGCCTTGGGCCTCCGCGCGCTGTGGCAGGAAGGTGATCCCAGCGGATGCGGCAAGCCAGTTCGAAAGACGAGGCCGCCATTAAGCTCCCCAAATCCCAGGGTTTGGGGTTTAGGGTTTAGGGTTTAGGGTGCAGGGTTAGGGGTTCAGGGCCTAATTAGGGTTTGAGTCAGGGCGTGCCAAACGGAAGCGCGCTTTGTGAGCGCATTCGTCTGCAGACCCACCCCAAGACCACCGACTTGCAACTCCTGTGGCGCTAAGGCTTTTTTTTTGCAAAGCAACATGCACTCCTATGAGTTGTGTCACACGGGTCGCTTGGAGCTCCTGGGACACTTGGGTCGCTTCATTCACTCGGCCGCTTGGGTCACTTCCAGTGGTGTGTTACAAGGTTCACTTGGGTCAGTTCGGTCACTTCGTGAGACTCAAGACGCCCCCCTAAACCCTACACCTAAACCCTAATCCCTAAACCCTAAACCCTGAACCCTGGACCCTAAACCCTAAAACGTTGAACCTTGGCATCACTTGGGTCGCTTGGAGCACTTGGCCCTTAAAGTGCTTGGGTCATGCAACACTTGGAGCACTTCGGTCACCTCCAGGGGTATGCCACAGGGGACGTTTTTTGAACGTTGGGGTGACTTGGGCACTTGGGTCACTTGGGTCACCTTGTGATACTCAAACCTAAGCCCTAAACCCTAAACCCAAAACCCGAAACCCTAAACCCTAAACCCTCAAGAAGCTTGGGACACTTGTGGCACTTGGGGCAAGGAATACTTGGGGGGGAGGCCCCCTTACCCCGCCTAAAACTTGTGAACAAATGTGCGAGTCGCTTGGGACGCTGGGTGACTTGGGGGCACTTGGGTTACTTAGGAGCACTTGGAACCTGGGATCACTTGAAATATAGTTTAGGGTTTACGGTTTAGTTAGGGTTTAGGACCCCCACAGACCCAGCGGACGGCGGGGGGGACCTGGGCCTGGAGCGTGTGGGGGATGGCCGTAAGAAAATACAAAACAGTGACCATGGCTGACTCGGCCTATGCTTTGCCGACCTGCGCCCTCCTGCCCCAAAAGAACAGTGAGTGGGGTGGCGGGCGGGTCTAGGGTCTAGGGGTGTGAAATCCCCAAATAGCGGGAGAGACGAGCCTAGTCAAAAGAGTTTACGGCCTGTTTGGGGTTTGGGTTTAGGGTTAAGTGCAAGAGTGCGGTTGCACGTCGACTCTGGATATCTAATGGGCTTTGATCAGGCCATGCGGCCATTTGTCACGAGCTTTCAAGTTTGGAGGCGGGGCTTCTTAGTACGGAGTGGTGGATTCATTAGGGGAACCCTAAACCCTACAAACCGTGTAAATTGTAAACCCTCGACCAGAAAGTCCCAGGCTCCAACAAACATCCCAAAGTCTAAGCCCCGAATCGTGTCTTAGGGTTTGGAGTTTATAGGGTGAGTAAATCATTCCGCGCCGTATTACAAAATGCTAGATGATACTACATCGACGCTACGCGGCAAATGTTTAAACCTAAACCCTAAACCCGAATCCCCAAAATACTAAACGCGAAAACCCCAACTCCCCAAACCCCTAAACCCCCCCAAACCCCTAAACCCCCCCAAACCCCTAAACCCCCCCAAAACCCCAAACCAAAAAGGTGGCTACCCTCCCGCGGGAGTCGTGGTGCTCAGCAAAACTGCAGAGCTCAAGGCCACGTGGCTGCGGGTTGCCTTTAGGACGTTTAGTTTTTTTTTTTTGTTTAATGGTTTTAGGGGTTTATGGTTTAAGGGTTTCAGGGTTCTAGGGTTTTAAGAGTTTTGAGGGTTTAGGGCTTTTGGGTCCTTATTTTTGGAGTGGCGCGCGGCTTCTCCGCACTCTGACCCCTTGTGTGTTGTAGCTCCAGGGTTCTTTCTGAGGGGTGGTTGCGAGGTTTGGGCTGTTGGGGTTTAGGGTTGGGGGTTTAGGGTTTCGGGTTTAGGGTTTAGGGTTTATGGATAAAGCCGCAAGCCGCTAGACCTCCCAAAACGCTGACGAAGCTCGCACCACCAACACTCCCTGCACCCTTCATTCCCTCACTCCCTCAACAATACACACGCTAAGCCAGATAAACCCTAAAACCTTTAAACCCCAAACCATCCCCAAGCCATTAAATCCTAAGCCCTCAAACCCCAAACCCTGAAACCCTGAACCCTGAAACCCTAAACCCTAAACCTTAAACCGGCTTGGGGTTTTAGGGTTTAGGGACCCTAAACCCTTCACCCTAAAGCCTTATACCCGAAACCCAAAGCGCCCTAAACCCTACACCCTAAACCCAAAGCGCCCTAAGCCCTAAGCGCCCTAAACCCTAAACCCTACACCCTACACCCTACACCCTAAACCCTAAACCCTAAACCCCAAAACCCAAAACCCTAAACCCTAAACCCTAAACCCTAAACCCTAAACCCCAAACCCTAAGCGCCCCTCCTTTGCAGGTAGAGGCCGCCCTGGCGCCGCTTCGGGATGCGGAGGGTGAGCTGAAGCCGTGCCTGCCGAGGCTCCTTAAGGGCAGCAGGGTTGGGGTTTAGGGTTTGGTGCTTAGGGTCCCTAAAACCCTAAACCCTAAACCCTAAACCCTAAACCCTAAACCCTAAACCCTAAACCCTAAACCCTAAGCCCTAAACCCTAAACCCTAGGATTTGAGGCTCAGGCCGCTCTTAGGTGTGCATTTGCGAATGCGGTAGAAGCAAGGGGAAGAACGCACCAGAGTCCGGGAGTTTGCGTTTACTATGTGTAGCGGTGTAGGGCATAAGGGTCACTGAAATCCTAAACCCTAAACGTTACACTCTGAACCCTAAACCCTAAATCCTAAACCCTAAACCCTATGCCCTAAACCCTAAACCCTAAACCCTAAATCCTAAATCCTAAACCCTAAACCCTATGCCCTAAACGCTAAACCCTAAGCCTAAACTTTAAACCCTAAACCCTGACTAAACCCTAAACCCTAAACCCCAAACCCCAAACCCTAAACCCTAGACCCTAAACCCTAAACCCTGAATCCCCCAAGTCTGCTGGGGATGCAGGCACTGGCGCTTCAAGGGCAAGCTGACCTGGGAGCGGATCAACGCCATCTACTCCTCCCTGGAGGCTCTGACATGGGTTTAGGGCCGTGGGAGCTGTCTTCTCGAACGTTTAGGGTTTAGGGTTTAGGGGTCAGGGTTTAGGGTTCAGGGTTTAGGGTTTAGGGTTTAGGGTTCAGGGTTTAGGGTTTAGGGTTTAGGGTTCAGGGTTTAGGGTTTAGGGTTTAGAGCTTTGTTGGCACCAAGCACGCCGAAACCGCGCGCATCCCGGCCCCAGCTCCCTCTTGTCGCCATCCCGAAGCCTGATGCCCTAAGGCCCGGAAGGCCCCTAAGGCCCCTAAGGCCCCTAAACCCTAAACCCTAAACCCTAAACCCTGAACCCTGAACCCTGAACCCTGAACCCTCAACCCTAAACCCTAAACCCTGTACCCTAAACCCAAAACCCAAAACTCTAGGCCCTAAACCCTCCACCCTCAACCCCCCTACCACTCGTAGCCTGAACCCAGCGTGACCGACATGGCCGGGAGGGTTCAGGGTTCAGGGTTTAGGGTTTAGGGTTTAGGGTTTAGGGTTCAGGGTCTTGTCTTGTCTCCTTGTATCCTGGCATCTATCTCCTAGAGTCCTAGAGGTTGAAGCATTTCAGGGGCGGAAAGAAGGCCAGGGAGCCAGCAGAGTTGGATTCACGGCTTCATTTCTTCCCTACATCCCAAACCCTAAGCCCCAAAACCCTAAACCCTGAAGCCTAACCTGTAGCCGCTGTAGCCCGAAACCCTAAACCCTAACACCCTGAACCCTGTAGCCCTAAACCCTAAACCCTGTCGCCCTTGTTCTTTGCCCAAGTCTGGAGAGGCACTGAACTTCACAGGGGAGCAGATTCGCCTGGCCATGGGTCCTCCCGGCACCGATTTTCAGGTTGAAGGGTTTGGGGTTCAGGGTTTAGGGTTTGGAGTTCAGGGTTCGGAGCTTAGGGTTTAGGGTTTGGGGTCTAGGCTGTGGGGCTTATCTTAAGGTTTAGGGGCGTTTAGGGTTTAGTATCGCTTGGGGCTTGAGTTTGTAGGGCTTATTGGGCTTGGGGTCGCTGTTCGCACCTACAAGCCCCTAAACCACAGAACAAAGCCGCAGCCTAAACCCTAAACCCTAAACCCTAAGCCCTAAGCCTTTAAGCCTTTAAGCCTTTAAGCCTTTAAGCCTTTAAGCCTTTAAGCCTTTAAGCCTTTAAGCCTTTAAGCCTTTAAGCCCTAAGCCCTAAGCCCTAAACCCTAAACCCTAAGCCCTAAGCCCTAAGCCCTAAGCCCTAAGCCCTAAGCCCTAAGCCCTAAGCCCTAAGCCCTAAGCCCTAAGCCCAACACCCAGGTAAGACCGGGGGCTACGATGCGCGGGCGGCCCTTGAATGGCTGCTCCTGAACCTGCCGAAGCAGGCATCAGGGTCCTGCAGCCCTAAATTCCCAGTGGGCTAAAACCCTAAACCCTAAAACCGAAACCCTAAACCCTAAATCCGAAACCCTAAACCCTAAAGCCTAAACCCTAAACTACCCGCAACCCTAGCTCCAAACCAGAAACCCCAAACCCTAACCCCCCCCGAACCCGAAAAATGCGGCATCCGTACGCTTATAACCCCCTCAAGCATGAGCCGCTTAAGTGCCCGAATATGGTGAGAAGCACAGTACCCCTAAACCCTAAACCCTAAACCCTAAACCCTAAACCCTAAACCCTAAACCCTAAACCCTAAACCCTAAACCACTAAGTACAGTTATAATTGGTTAATGAGTACCATGAACCTCCAAGTAAGGTGGGATTTTGCTGCACCGACCGGGCTTCGGGCTCCTGAGCCCGAAGCAACGCCGTGGTAGGCGTGTCTTTGCAGTTGCAGGTCACTAAACCCACCCTAAACCCGTAACCCGAACCCCTAAGCCCCCTAACCCCTAAACCCTGAACCCCAATTCCTAGTTAAACCCGAACCCTAAACCCTAAACCCTTGAGATGGCACCTATAACCCCCAAACTCTACAGCCCTAAACCAATCCTAGATCAGTGTTAGGGATCCTTTTTTCTTTTGGGTTATGGGCTTTCTTATATACAAACAACAAGGATCCTTTTTTCTTTCTACGGGAACAGGGATTAAGAATCCTTCCTCCAGGAGCTTCCAAGGCAGTTTGGGGGTGAGTCGCTTGGCGACGACCCCCAGGCTGCCGAACCGGAGGACGAAGGCGTCGCTCGGGTTGGGAGAGCTTTGGGCTTTGTAGGGTTTAGGGTTTAGGGTTTAGGGTTTAGGGTTTAGGGTTTAGGGGTTAGGGTTTAGGGTTTAGGGTTTAGGGTTTAGGGGTTAGGGTTTAGGGTTTAGGGGTTAGGGTTTAGGGTTGAGGGCCTTCAGAAGTTTCAGGCAGCCCATGTAGTGAGTCTTATGTAAAGGTAATAATGGTTTGGGGTTTGAAGTGTTCAAGAGTTGGGTTTTTTTGCAGGCGTAGGAACGGACGCTGGGTAGAACGGGCCCGGAGCCTTCCCAGAAGAGTCCCGCTCTCCAGTCCTTCGGCCCTCGAGAACCGAAACTCTAAACCTTAAACCCGAAAGCCTAAACCCTAAACCCTAAACCCTACACCCTAAACCCTAAACCCTAACCCCTAACCCTGAACCCCCTGAACCCTAAACCCTAGACCCTAAACCCTAAATCCTGACCCTCAAAGCCGAGGGGTTTCCGAAAATTCGGGTACCCTTTTTGGGTCCCTTAAGGGGATTCTATTTCGTTTGGTGGGAAAAAAGGGTACCCCTGTTTTGGGAAATGCCCTCATGCTTGCTGCCAGGGCTAATGCCGACAACCGACTTGGTGGAAGCGCCCTTTGGTCCTGCAGAGCTCCAGCCGGATCCCAAAGAGGAGGGGGCTTTCAGGTTTTCTTTTTCCAAGGCGGTCCCCATATTTGCGCTCTAGGGAAGAAGATCTTGTGGGGTTGGTTCTTAGGCAAATTGCAGTTAAGGGTTTCAAAGCTTTGTATGGGCTGTTGAGGCCGTTCAAGCTTTGTCAGGCCCCTTGAAGGTTTGGGATTTTGGGGCTGAGGGTTAAGGGTTTAGGGCTAAGGGGGGCCCTAAACCCTAAACCCTACACCCTAAACCCTCAATCCTGAACCCTCTGTGAGGAGGCTGCCATGGAGCTCGAGCGCTCGCAGAAGTCGCGTGCCAGAGGCTGCTTTGGGGGGCTCTTAATCCCTCAACCCTCAACCCTAAACCCTCAACCCCTAAACCCTCAACCCCTAAACCCTAAACCCTCAACCCTCAACCCTAAACCCGAAACCCTAAACCCCAAACCCCTAACCTCTCATCCTAAACGACCCCAGCTTGTTCGAGCTGCTCAGAGAAGACGCCAACTAACTAGGCCCAGGAAGGGGCTGGTCCGTCTTTGAGCCTTGATACCCACGACCCTGGCCCCTAAGCCCGAAACCCTACACCCTACACCCTACACCCTACACCCTAAACCCTAAACCCTAAACCCTAAACCCTAAACCCCAAACCCTAAACCCTAAGATGCCCACGACCTGGAACAGTAAGCTGCATGCTTAAGTAGTGGATTGGATCAGGGGAGGCAGGTTTAACCGGCCAGGTTTTAAACCCTAAAAGCGCTGAACCCTAAACGCCAACACTTTGCGCCTTCATGGCCACATAAGCCAACATGCACAGCTTCGCGTCGAAACACCAGGCCACTAAATTGCCCTCCCGTGAGCTTGGCTGGCGCATCGGCGGGCTGGAAATTCATCACAGCTGTGAGAACTATCAAACCCTAAACCCGTAGCCCTAAACCCCAAACCCTAAACCCTAAATCCCTCAACCCTAAACCCTAAAAGCCCTTAGCATATTCCTCCACACTCCAAGGGAGATGGGAGAGGCCAGCTACAGAGCAGATCCCACATGAAGTGCCCCTCAACACCGTGCCTACTCAAGGAGGCATTCGCATATTAGGGTTTAGGGTTTAGGGTTTAGGGTTTAGGGTTTAGGGTTTAGGGTTGACTGCATGTCTATGACATGGAGCTATCACGTCCCGCACCAGGTCACCGACTGCCGCTTGCGGATGTGTATATGGGCGGTTTAGGGTTTAGGGTTTGATCTTTCGGGCTTAGGGTTTAAAACAGGACAGGACTCTAAGCCGAAGTACATACTAACGCATCCCAACGCAGGAATACGTCGTTTTTCAATTTCGTCCATGCATGGGTGGTTTTAAACGATTTGGGGTGTACAGGGTCGTAACTGGGTTGGCCCCGTTACTTACAGGGTGTTGGTTTGTAGCGGGGCTGGGTACGTAGGGTTTGACTAGGGGGTGGAGGTTGTTCCTCTACAAGGTCCTTGGTGGGTCACTAGGTTTGTAGAAGTCCGATATTCGCCGCATGGACCCCAAATCTTTCTTGCGTCGGTTGAAGGCGATGCCGCCAGCGTGTGCTCCACTGCCACGCCGACCCTGGGCTAAACCCTAAACCCTAAACCCCCTAAACCCTAAACCCTAAACCCTAAACCCTAAACCCTAAACCCTAAACCCTAAACCCTAAACCCTAAACCCAAAACCCTAAACCCTAAACCCTAAACCCTAAACCCTAAACCCTAAACCCTAAACCTACACCCTACACCCTAAACCCTAAACCCTAAACCCTGAACCCTGAACCCTGAACCCTAAACCCTAAACCCTAAACCCGAAGCGCCCCTGACATCCCGAAGGCCCCAATCTCCACCCTAAGCCCTAAGCCTTGAAACCCCCTTAAGTCCTATAAACCCTAAAGTAAACCCTGAACTTCAAATCCGAAGCCCTGCAACCGCAAGCTTGCTGCTGGGGGTATCCCGAACCCCTGAACCCAAAACCCTCACAGGTTCAGAAAGGGCTTAGGGTTAAGGGTTAAGGGTTTAGGGTTTAGGGTTAAGGGTTGAGGGTCCAGGGTTTGGGGTTTAGGGTTTGGTGGCAGGGTTTATCGTCTAGGGGGTTTAGGGTTTAGGGGTTTATGGGTCTATGGTAGGGGTTTAGGGTTTAGGGTTTAGGGTTGGGGGATCGATGCTCTGGCACCCTGAGCCCTGAACCCCAAACTCTTCCGGTCTGCCGTTGCGTACTTCCAGTGTTGAGGGCCTTGGGCAGCCGCCAGCTGCAACCCTGAACCCGAAGTCCCCCACAGATAAAACCCTGAGCCCTAAACCCTAAACCCGAAACCCTAAACCCTAAACCCTAAACCCTACACCCTATAACTCTAAACCCTATCGCCTTCCAAACCTCATCCCAGCCCAGGAATGAGACCGAGCCGGGCGACAGCGAGGACGAGTCCCCGGACCCACAGGCTGGCAAAGCCGAGGTGAGCCCCGTGCATTCTGATCACTCTATTTTAGGTCTCCTTAGGGTTTAGGGTTTAGGGTTTAGGTTTAGGGTTTAGGCTATAGGGTTTTCGGGTTGAGGGTTTTGGGTTTAGCGCTTAGGGTCTAGGGTTTCGGGTTTCGGGTTTCGTACTAGTTGCATTTTGATGATCATCATGCGTCTTCCTCTTATGTCTCCTTAGTCGAGGCTAGGAGCTTGGGATTTGGTGCTGGCTCCGGTCGGGTCGAGTGGGGGGCTTGATCAGCTGCGCCTGCTAGTGTGATTCGGTCCAGTTATTTCCTGCCAGTACCCCTGGCCCAGTTATACTAGTTCATGGTTGGGATAGTAATAAAAACTTAACTCTATATGCTCCTTATTGGGGTTTAGCAACTCTTAAAAATATATAAATGGTACCCAGCTACCCTAAAAAAATGTAAAATGGTACCCAACTATGATAGAGTGTAGGGCGGTAGCAGGCGAAGCCCGACTCTGCCCCTGTCTGCGACAAGGAGGCAGGGAAGGACTGACTGCCTGACCGGGCTCCCAGGGTTCAGGGTTCAGGGTTTAGGGTTTAGGGTTTAGGGTTTAGGGCTCCCAGGGTTCAGGGTTCAGGTTGTAATCTTTGGATGAATGGGACGACATAAATGCAGGTTTCTACTCACCCAAGTTATTTCCCTAAATTGAAAGTAGGGTCTCGAGCTTTCAGTTCAAGCTTCATGTAGAAAAAGGCATGGGTGTAGGGGCGCACGGTAGGGGTTTTGTGAGGTTTGAGGAGTCAGGGCTTGGGACATCTTTGTTTTGTTCCATGGGACGGAATTCAGGGGTTTTCGGGTCCTGGCGCCTACGCCAAAGCCCACGAACCTTCAAAGAAGAGCAGCGTCTGGCATCGCAGCAAGCAGTATCAGGGTTTAGGGTTAGGGTTTAGGGGGTTATGCGGCTTAGAGCTTATGGTTTAAAGATTGTTTTTCGGATTCCTGGGCGTGCGCTGGGCGGTTTGGCATTCAGGGTTCAGGGCCTCGCGAGGACTTCGCCCGAAGATGGCTGGAGCAGTACGAGGCCGGCTCTTGCGGCAGGGTTCTTGAGATCCGCATTCGAAAAAGGAAGAAACCAGAAGACCCGAAATCACGCTAAACACCCCTAAGCACACTTAAACACCCTAAACACCCCTCAGCACAGCTGCACAGGCCTACACACCCTAAGGACCCTTAAGCACCCTAAGGACCCTAAACACCCTAAACGCGATAAAAGGGGCACCCTAAACTCCCCTAAACGACCTACACGCGCTAACGCCCCTCAGCACGCCTAAGCACTCTCAAACACCCTTAAACACTCCTAAACAGCCTACACGCCCAAAAAAAAAACAGTAAGCACACGCCTAAACACCCGCAAACACCCTAAACATTCCTAAATACCCAGAACACTCAAACCCCAACCGTCAACACCCTGAACCGTTGAAGCTGAAGTTAAGGATTCGGATCATCGGCTTCCTGAATAAGCGACGGCTTTTAGGTAGAATACCTCTAATATGACCACCGGACCCCTTGGAAGAAAGCCCAGCCCCCACCTAAGGGTTAGGTTCAGGGTTTAGGCTTTAGGCTTTAGGGTTTAGGGTTTCGGGTCTCTGAGTCAGACTAGCTCCTATGTGGAGGAGGCAGATGAGGATGAAAACGCGTTGCTGAGTCCCGAGGACGGCCTGACCGGGTCTGATTGGGCGTAGGGCCCTACCCTGAACCCTATGAAGCAGGGCTTCCATAGCTGCTCTGGGTGAGTGTATAAAACTTACTCCAAATATGGGTGGGGATACGAGAAATAAATGCCGTACTTCATAGAACCCAACAGACCTTAAATCAAAACTCCATGTTGCCAGGGCCCTGGGGTTTAGGGTTTAGGGTTTAGGGTTTCAGGGCTTTGGGGATTATAAGGGGGCCCAAGCTGCCCAGTGGCCTCATTCCCTTTCTTCAAAGGTTGGCTTCCCGTGTACTACGCCCCAGGAGGCAGAAAAGGGGCCGCCCTGTTTACGCCTAAACCCTAAACCCTAAACCCTAAACCCTAAACCCCTAAACCCTAAACCCTAAACCCTAAACCCTAAACCCTAAACCCTAAACCCTAAACCCTAAACCCTAAACCCTAAACCCTAAACCCTAAACACCCTAAATAACCCTTCCGGGGGCTACTGGGGTTTGAGGCTTTAGGGCTTCAGGTCGATGTGGGGGTTTACGAAAATCGGGGACCCTCAAAATAGGTCCCCAAATAGGAGGATCCCGTTAGAATAAGGACCCCAAGAAGGTACCCCTAATTTCGGAAACCCCCCACGTGGGGAGAGTTTGCATGGTGGCCTTTGGGGTCTTCATACTAGGATGCCCAGTAGTACCCTTATTCCCTTTTTGGTAGGTTTAGGTTCCCTTATAAACCCAATTAAGCAAAAAAGGGCACCCTCTTTCATCCTAGGTTACTGGGCAAGCTAGCACATCTGCACTAGACGTCTTTGCCGCCTGAAGCCCCTGCATCGCTCTGACAAGGAGATCCTGGACCGGGAGCGAAAGAAAGATCCGACTGCCAGGCCCAGTGTACGGAAGCCCTTCTAAATTGAATCCTGTTCAGCCCTTACAGGCCCCTTCGTTCCCTACCAGAGACCCTCAAAAACAAGGGCACGGTGCGGTTAGCGGCCGTGGGCCGTAAGCACACCAAAATGTGGTGTTAACCCACGCATGACACTGCTTCGCTGTTGAAACGTGTTTTGCGGGGGGCTTTCTTTTTTGAACGTGCAGTGAATCCTAGGCATTGTTGTAGTCAAAGGTACCACGCCTGCCAGTGTTTTGAGTGTTTTGACATCCTTATATCATGAGTAGGTTTTTGCGCGTTTTGTGTGTTTTTGCGGTTCCGTGTTTTGTGGTTGTGTAGGGTCTCGGATCCTCGCTCTCGCTCTCCCAACCGCTTCCCCAGGCTTAGGGTGTAAGGCTTTGGGTTGTCAGGGTCTGGGGTTTAGGGTTTATGGTGTAGCCCAGGGTACTGTAAGGGTTTAGGGTTTAGTGTTTGGGTTTAAGGTTTCAGGGCTTATAGGTTTTAGGCAGTTTACGGCTCAGGGTCCAGGTTTACCGGTCGTTCCTTCTTTTTTTCCTAGGCGGTTTACGGCTCAGGGTCGAGGGCAAAGGCACGGCGCACCGTTGCCCCGCAGCGAACGCCCTTTGCGCTCACTTCAAGAAAGCTTTCGCTCCGGGCAGCGAACACGAGCGGACATTGTGCCCGCATTTCCCGCACAACCCACATCGTTTGGCGAGATTAGGGGGCATTGCGGACAGTGCTTAAAATCTGAGCTCTTGTAGCTGGAGGATGACTTGGGTGTACTCCTGTGTCAATGCTGGAAGTGTTGATTGTAGACTAGAAGAGTGTATATAAAACACGGCAAGGAAACAGAAGCTATCTGAATCAGAAACAAGGAAGAAGAAGCGTGTAGACATGCCCGCAACCACGCCCCCCCCCCCCCCCCCCCCCTCCCCCTCCCCCCGCCTCCCCCCCCCTCAGAAGCACGAAAAAGTTGTAGAATCAGCGTTCCGCCCACGGCCGCTAGCCGCACCGTGAGCAAAAACAACACTAGCTCCACCCCAAAGTCCGCGGCGGCTGTCGTGGTCGAGCCACAACAAGGCCTTGAAGCAACCAACAGACAACGGGGAGCGGCCTGCCCTGGATCTCATCTCGGCAGGGAGTTTCGACACGGGCGCAAGCAGAGAACCGGATAGGAGTTGCTTGAACCCAAAAACAGGAACATGGACTTTATTTGCTGAAAGCAGGGGGTGTGGGCCTGTTTGTTCCTTCAACGGCGCACTTTCATGTGGCCCGCTCGCAGCTCCTAAGCCACCAAGGCCCCAATTAAAGGCCCTAAGGCCCTAAGGCCCGAAGGCCCGAAGGCCCGAAGGCCCGAAGGCCCGAAGGCCCTAAGCCCCCAAGGGCTTGTGGAGGCTTCCGGGTGCATTTCCTCGCAAACCTTAGCTGCAGCCCTGAAGCCTTGAATCCCGAAAGGGCAAGGGCCTAAACCCGGTTTGCCGTTTTGAGGGTTTGAGGTTTAGGGTTTGAGGTTTGGGTTTAGGGTTTGAGGTTTAGGGTTTAGGGTTTAGGGTTTAGACTCCGAGTCGCCTTCTCCTCCAGCTCCCCGACCAGGTACATCAAGGTCTCCGCGCAGTACGAGGAGGCAGCCAAGACGCTGAAGGCCCCCGGCCGAAAGCTTCCCCAGGGGCGTGGGGTTTAGGGTTTAGGGTTTAGGGTTTAGGGTTTAGGGTTTAGGGTTTAGGGTTTAGGGTTTAGGGTTTGGTTTCGGGTTTAGGATGTTCAGGGTGTTTAGGGTTAGGGGTTAGGGTATTGAGGGCAACCCTGAATTCTCCTGGAGATGAACAAAACCTTGCACCCCGCACCCACGATGGAAGCCCATACCCGACCCTGGGCCCTCAACTCGCCACCCTGGGCCCTCAACCCTCTAAGCCTGAAGCCCTGAATCCCTGAGCCCTAAAGCCCGAAACCCTATTCGCCTTATAAGCGCTCTAAGCCCTCGAAGCCCCCTAAGCCCCAAGCCGTAAGCCCTCCAAGCCCGAATCCCTAACCCTTTTCGCCCTCCTATAAGCCCTATAAGCCCTCTAAGCCAAGCCCTAGAAGCCCTGTTAGCCCTAAACCCGAAAATCCCCCAAAATCCCAAACTCCCCCAAAACCTCCACCGGTCCCGAAGGCCCTGAAGGAAAAGAGGCGGCGCGGGGCGTTCAAGTCGCCCGCCAGCCACGAAGTTCCGGTTTCGGGTCTGGGGTTTCGGGCTTAGAGTTTAAGGGTGTAGACTTTCGGATTTGGGTTGCAGGGTGTAGATTTGAGGGTTTTGTCTGGAGGGTGGCCGCGCGCATTTCTTAGCTTTCGCGCATGACCTGCGATGATCCTTTTTCGCAGCTCCCGGACTTGGATTTTCGTTCGGAAAGTTTTCGTGAAATTCATCGAGAAAACGTAGAAACTACGTCAGCTATGGATCATGTGGGATGACCCGTTAGATCTCGGGTATCAGGATTTCTGCAGTATCACCGAAGCCTCAGTTTCCGAGCCCGAAATGCCAAAGCACTCAAAGGGTTTAAGGTTTAGGGTTTAGGGTTTAGGGTTTGGGGTTTAGGGTTTAGGGACAGGAGCATTGCGTTCCTCTGCACGTGTTCTTGCCCGCATGGTGGTAAACCCTAAATCCTCCCAAATCCATGCAAGCCCTAAAATCGTTACCCTTAAACCCTAAACTCTGAACCCCATACTCTTATACCTACTCAAACCCCAAACCCCAATCCCCAAACCCCAAACCCCAAACCCCAAACCCTAAACCCTAAACCCTAAACCCAGGGGTACTTGTAGGAAAGTCTGAGGCAGAACATCAGCGCCGACCAGATGAAGTCGCGGGATGCCTCCAACAAGCTTTGTGGCCGGGTTTAGGGTTTAGGGTTTAGGGTTTAGGGTTTAGGGTTTAGGTTTTGGGGTTTAGGGTTTAGGGTTTGGGGTTTAGGGTTTAGGGTCGGGATGTTCCCCCTGATGCTAACAGCCCTTAATAGAGGATTATCGTACGCCCTACTATAATCCCTACTCGATCGAGACCGTTATAAGGGGGAACATTCCAAGTTTAGGGTTCAGGTTTCAGGGCTTTCATGGGACTCTACCTTGGACCCCTGAGGTCGTACCCTTGGCTTTTTGTGGGGACCCTTGTTAAAGATCCTCTAAGGGAATAAACCCCCCAAAATCTCTCTTTTCTCTCTCTCTCTCTCGCTTCTCTCTCTCTCTCGCTTCTCTCTCTCTCTCTTCTCTCTCTCTCTCTCTCTCTCTGTTCTCTCTCTCTGTCTCTCTCTCTCTCTCTGTCTTCTCTCTCTCTCTCTGTTCTCTCTCCTCTCTCTCTCTCTCTTCTTTCTCTTCTCTCTCTCTTCTCTCTCTCGCTTCTCTCTCTCTCTTCTCTCTCTCTCTCTCT